TTTTTTTTGTTTAAAATATAGTACATATTATGATTTCAAAATATTATACTTTAAAAAATAATATAAACAAATGTGTGATATTTGGAGGTATGAGTATTCAATGTTATTATCAAATATATAGGGTAATTGTTAAATTGTTGGAAAATATTCCATACCACAACTATTGTGGTGAGTTTGTTTTAGACAAACCTTGTTTTCTTAAAAAAAAAATGCATAACATAGTATAAAATATAATACTTTTGTTTGTGTTGTATTTTAGAGTACGTTGTAAAAATATGTAAATTATTGAAAATTATGGTTGTCCAACTGTTTTCATGTATACCTACGAAGAATACAATAACACAAATGATTAAAAAATTTATCGTGAAAGCGTAATGTCTATTTGATATAATTTCCTTTTACCATTACCAAAGTTTCGATTAGAATTGGTTGTAATATAAGATAAAGATATTTGTAGTTATTCTCAATTAATTGTGAAATATGTATTTATATCACCAAAATACAATATCAAAATAACAATAAAAATATTTTGTATTTTATGATATAAGCGTTAACATAAATGGGCACCATCTAAATTGGGATAAGTTAAAATAAATCGTGTAACTAAAAGTTACACATTTTTATTAAATAATTAATATATTCCTATTAAATTAACTATTATTATTATTATTATTATTATTATCATGCCAAATAAAATTGATTGAAATTTACAGAAATTATAAAATTTATTGGATTAGTAAACCCCACACGTTTTTAGTAAATAATAATTGCTTAACGAGTGTTTAGTGAAGACACATAGGTAATTGTTTCATTAATGCGCTCTGAATAATGAAAATAAATTACTTTGGAGCAATCTTTATTAAGAGAGCACGCGTGTTGCCCTTGGATGATTATATGTACGAGTGTTAATGAATTTTATCAGTTTTGCTATGGAGCAATCGGATGGCTCGGCTTATGGAGCAATCCACACTTATTCACCAATAGTGTATTGACACGTGTCTTACAATAAATACAATTTGGACAAGTGTCAATATATTAAGCAATGGATGGCTCCATAAGAAAACAATCCGATTGCTCCATAGAATTTTTGTGAATTTTATTATTAGATGGTAAATTAAGGGGAATTACAATTGTAGAATAATAAATAATGCTTACATTAAAATTTAATACTTACACAACACAAAATAAATAATGCACGTTAAAATTACATACACAAAAAGTAGTAGCATATTTCATAGAGAAAATATAAATGAGTGTATTGTTGATATCATTTTCTGTAAATCGGATTAAGCGACACTAACCCGTTGATTGAGATCAATATAATGGTGATTAGAGTTCATGTGAGCAAGAGACACTTCTACCAACTTCCAGATAACTACACAATGAAGATTCAGCAGAAACCGACATCCTTACTAAGTTGACCGATATCACATGTCGGTCAACACATGTCGGTCAACACATGTCGGTCGACACATGTCGGTTACTACATATCAGTCACGACGTATCGGTTATAATTGGGTGGACCGATATCTATAACATGCCAGCTCAGCATGGTAAGGCGGCGACAACTCAGCATAATTCATCATTACGTTTATCCAAGTGGTAAGCTATCAAGAGAAACCACCAAGGACCGCCTTTGACCTTTCAAAATGTAATGATTATTGTACAGATAATTATGATATGTAAATATAAAAGGGAAATAGAGAATTTCCCAAACAGACAAGAATACCACCCTGCTACAAATTACATTTCCAGATATAATATACAGGCTTTTCATCGCTAAACATTTAGATTTACTTAAAATACATCCCAATTTGGTTGTTGTTAATTTCTATGTAACAACATGTATATAGTCTCTTTACGTGGAAAATGACTCCACATTTATTGAATTAGTATTTAAAAATTAGGAAGATGCTACGGTTCCTTTACGGAAGCATTCCGTCAGAATTTGTAACGGCTACGAGTCCGACGGAAAAATTTCGAGACTTTAGTCTTTCTCTAAAAATTATATGTCCAACCCAAATATAAAATAATAAAAAAATTATTGTAATGGTGAACGTTGTTGACCTTTGAAGCTAATGGACCAAATAGTGATGTGATGACAAAAACTACCCAACAGAATTTGAGTAACAAATGGGCAAAGATTTGGGCCCATCACAGTTAGAAGGCCTGGCCCAATATCTTGCATCATTAAAACAATAAAATGTTTTAGAATAATAGTTTTTTTGTCCAAATAAAATGGCATATAGACAAAATAATAATAATCT